TAAGATACACCCCGGAATATCTTATTTGCTTTTCTATTTTCAGTTTCAAGAAGTAGGAAGTTATAAGTAGCACATTGAATCATGATGTGTTTGACACACAAGCCATGCTGAGCTCTTCATAATTCGCTCTCTTAGAGACATTTCCCTTACATTACAACAAGATTAAAAGTGGATATACTTTGTCATCATCAGATGCCCTTGCAGTGCAGGACATCACACAATGAAACTAATCACAGAAGAGATTTTGCCAACGCATTTCTTATACCAAATGACACAATCTATTCTTCAGAGCTACCTTCCATTCTTTACTGAGCTATAAAGTGCTTGGTTACTATAAACAGAGCGAGAACATCAAAGGAGGTAGCTAGTAGAGATTTGTAATGGCTAACAAGCCTTACCAAGTGTTACCAACTACAAGTGTGATTTGATGCTTAATCCCAGATCTCTGACCATCCCAAGCAGCACATCTTTCCTCTTCTCCACCATAAAAAGAACTTTCAAGTTGCTTTCAAAGAATCCTAAGACCTTCACCCGCCCCAAAAAAAGAGATTTGATCCAAGTTGGGATGAATGTTACAGTTCATAACTATTGATCACTAATTCCACTGGACTGCTGTCAGGATCTCAGCAGTGAAGTCGTGGTCTTTTTCCAGCTCTCAAATATATTCCACAGACAAAGAAACTCCACCAGGAACAAATCCTCCTCATAAAGTTCCTTGCAGCCAGACCGGATGTTGTACAATAGGCTATTAACAAATTGAAAGGGCTGCCCATAGAGTTCAAAGTCTTCTACACTGGCGTTTTTTCACCTGAAAACTCTAGCCCCTTTCTATTTGCTTTACCGATGGCTTTCACCAGCAGCCAACACTGCGCCAGATCCTGAGCTGGAGTAATGCTCAAGCAGCCCTTGATTTTCACCCGAATGGCTCAGCAGAAGCATCACAAAACATTTTGACAAACTTCTCTATTAAATGATCTTTTATGGAAATCTTTCCTGTACATACACTCAAACACACACAAACCCACGAGAAGAGTCCTCTTCATACAGCGACTCATGACCTGTTTTACACAGCTTGAAAGTTTGAAAGGGTAATGGTTCATTTTCCACTGTGAGCAGAGAGACAGAAATACCCAAACCTTTCTGCTACGTATCGGTCTGCTGCTGTCCCAGCCACAGCAGTAGGAAGACATCTGGATCTCTATACTTGTGCTCACAAAGTCTCCTCCACCTCTCCCCTTTAAACCTGCTTGAACCCACCTGCTCACTGGTGTAAGCTTTTACTCTTAACATTAGTTCTGCAGCCTGAGTAATCTACTCCCAGAATTTTCTGAGTAAAGCTGGAAGTCCTCATCTTCCCGACCGTGTGGTTAATTTCATTCTTCATAAACTTTAATACTAAATTTGGAACTGGTAGAACTTACACATAAAGCCAGCTCCCCTCGTTCTCCTGTGCACAGGATACCTTTCATTAGTCAGAGTCTATTTTTCAGATTGTTAAATTATAGAGCTCACTCAAGACACCATTTATTCATAGAGGTAGAATAGGCTTCAGAGACATAACTCTTCCCACTGAAGAATGCACACAGATAACCCCTAAAGCATCCCTGTAGTGTAAGGCCCTTAACTTCACGGCAATCAGCTGGAACACTCGCCAAGGAAATGAGTATTTGATGTACATTTCCTCTCTACAAGTATCCACAAATCAATTACAACAGCAAAACTTGACCTACAACTCCACGGTAGTAGTTCTGGAAGTGGCATTTACTCAGCTTTTGAGGATAAAGCAAAGCCATAAAAAAGGGAACTCGCATTCCTCCGTACAGCCTTACCGGGACATGCAGCCTCTGCCATGATCATCGTGCTGATTTTATAGCACCTGGTACCAAAGAGTGTGAAAGAAACCAAAACCAAAGTATCTGAGCATCTTTCACAAGAGGAACTCCTCCCATTTGAAGTGTCCACCACAGAGACACCCGGTGACACACCACAGGCTGCTTTTAGACAATGCAGCTGTTAAAAACACAAGTTTTAAGCCACTAGGAAGGTAACTATTACATTCTAAAGGAAGCATTTATTGTGATGCTACTTACCATGCATTTACTTCTTTGCATTATAAAAAAGAAGCAAAGACACACACTTGCAACGTTAAGTTTCATCAGTATTTCACCACAGCTGTTAAACGAATAAAGTGCAATTAAAGAGTGGGTGCTGCACCTCTCTGGTTTGCTGTATTATAGCTTTGAATGGCAGGTAAAAAGTGCTCTGTACTAATGCATCCAGCGCACAACTTTGCAGCCTGTTTACGACATCCCTTGCCAACATCTATGTGTTAAGAATGTTCTTCATTAGGCAGTTGTCTCCTGACACACAGTAGATGCATCAGGACAGAACTGGAATATGTTTTCAGAGGAAATTTAATCAAATGTAGGAAATTTAAACCTAACACACTGCAAAATACTCTTTTCATGACACTGATTTTGTACAGCAATCCAAAATACTACATGTCTTCTAACATGTTATCCCCTGCCCCTCCATTCTGGATTGTTGCCCAAAGTGTATTATGTTGGGGTTTGGGTTGGTTGGGTTTTTTCAGTTGAGTTTTAACACAATCTTATTACAGCTTGACTTACATTTGTGTCTTAAGAGGGGAAAAAAGTATCTAGAAGTGAAGGAAATGGACCATTTTAATGAACGTTCTCCACTGAAAACAAAAATACTGAAATATTAAAGATTAATGCTAAGAAGGGATGAATTTAAAAACTTGTCATGAGTTATCACCTTAGGAGTTGCTCCAAATCAGCTTACCCATGTTTTTCATCCTGCTTCAAAAGCAGAAGGAACGAGCTAATACAAAATGTTTCCCTGATCTAATAACTTAAAAAACACAAGAAAATGAAGTATTTCATGTACACCTTTAAATCATAAAGGTGATAGAAACACAGAGCCTTCATAGGTAGCCTAGATTTTGCATCTGATACACTGAAATCACTGTTTTAAAAGATACCAGGTTCTGCAAATCACTATAGAGTGTTTCTTTCAGCAAAGCAGGTCACAGGATCTCAGGCTATGGACTTACTGGTACCCGAACCAGTTCAGCGCTCACTCGGATCATCCAGCTAAGCAGATCAATTGCTAACTTTTCCAAGGCATACACAGCTCTTTTGTCTGCAGGGACTGGGCTGTGAAGTATTCATAAGCCCAGAATCCAAAGAACAGAAGTACTAACAACCCTCGATACCTCCCTTCACACGGCAGGATTGGGAAATGGGTTTTGGAAGAAAGCCTGCCCAGTTAAAGAGTGGAACGAGGCTTATAAAAGTGGGTAGTCTTTAGCCCAAACAATACTCCCTGCTGACATTTAACTGGGGAACGACACTTACCAGAGCTGCCTCGGTTATAAGGCATTTCAGCCTACACAGTCCTCTTGGGGCCTTACAGACATCCAGTTCCTGAGGGATGGAAACGCTGCATCCCTCACCTGAGAGCACAGGACTGGGGCAATCGCACCTCTGACTGCAGAGGGGAGAGTTCACGTCAACCAGCTTCGTTACAGGGGACAGGACCAGAGGAAAACTGATGATCCCACACAGGGTCAGTATTTTACCTTCGTTTTCTGCTGAAAGAGCCTGCTAAAACAACTGGGTTGTGCACTGAACGACTGAGTGAAAACGCAGACTTTTAGCACACCTTACCAGAAGGTGTAACAAGCAACATGTTAAAAAACCCCAACCACCACAGAGTAAAACACACCCAACCCAGCCACCACACCAAGTTAAAAAATGGGAATTAATCAGTCCCAGTTCAGCTATGGTATAAAGTAAGCAAACCAAAACCAAACTACACACCAATACAGCTCTCAAAATCCTTCAGAAAACAAGCAAACCCCAGAATTTCCTCTAACTGTATTAGATATTAGATTCATGACTAGTCCTAGATGGTAAGATTCCTCTTTCATACCCTCCAAACCTTTAAGCTTGCAGAAGAAGGAACAGAGCACCTATGGAAGTCTGGCACAGTTAACTCAAGAATGGTTTTAGTCAACACCTCAGACTGTGATTAATGAGGAAAACATGACAAAAAACCTCAGTAATTCAGATCAAATGGGTCATTCCTGTGATAAGAGAGAGAAAAAGGATTGCTGTAAGTTACACATCACATCTACAGAAGAATTTTCTCTCTTTACAGTTAAACTTCGCTTCCGAATAGCCAATGGTTACAAATACTCTGTGGAGAGCTGCAACACTTCTCAAAGGTAGTAACAGCAGCAGCAAAGGAGAAATATGTCTGAATTATGCTATTTCCACACATCATTTACCATACTGACTGCCAAAACCAATTCCACGGGCGATGTAGAAGAGTTAGAATTGCGTGTCATGGTCCAGAGCAAAAGCACATCCTTCCCATCAGAATCAGAGCATTTTAACACTTTTGAAGATACTCTCTAGTCTTATAATAGAGCATTTTAGATCATTGTATCTCATACATTGCCCAAAATGGTTTGCATTCATGTAAGGCAGAACAAAAAGCAGTAGAAGACTTCACGGAATCAAAGCTACATTTTTAGGTTTTCTTGCAAAACTTAAAAAGTTGTCCAGAATGAAATCTTGATCGTTATTCCCAGAAGAAAACATAGAAACGTGCCAGGAAAATCGCACCGTATCAGGAGTTTGGGAAGTTTTTGTTTCCTTAAAAAAAGGAGAGAGCTCTCAATATTCGCTGGGTTTATAAAACACATTAATCTGAGAAACCTGAGTGAAACACTTCGAACACACTGGTGGACAACAAGCAAGTAACCAGTCTGCTCCCTTCCAACTTCAGTAGCTTGTAACTGCTCAGAACAGACACATGGAACTCATTTGTGGGAGCTTTTGCTTTTATTCCTCACCGGGCAGGATCCATAAAGCGTGGCCCTGGGTGTGCAGGCAGTGTGGATCAGGGACAC